ATATTAGCCATGTAGAGGTGGCGGAAAAGAAACCACAACCCCATTTCATCCCGTGGGTGTCTTAAGAGGCGACAGAGGGAAACTGAAACAGGAGATGGGTAGCATCTTCTTGATAACAGTGCAAAGCAATAAAGAGCTCCGGTTGCCAACCTGCTTGCCAAGCGTGAATACTACTGCAAATACCCGGTCATTTGTCATACAATGGGGGAAGCCTACGATCAGCAGTGGAAAGACCTATTAAAAGTAAAAAAGCAGGAGCCTAAATACATCCCACTACTGTGCACAGCCCACAGAGAGTTTTAGGTCAAAAAGGAGTTGATTAAGTTGAATCCAACGCTGGATGACTGACTTCACTATACCTAAAAAATGATTTCCGAAATTTTTTTAACATCTCAGATATGCAGATTTCGTGCGATGTTTTTCTTTATCACCGGGAACGTGGTAAATCGAAACTTCAAATTGCAGTTAAAATATGAGTGGCGTCGGCGCGGATCTAATTTGAGTTGCTTACGTACCAACTATGACATTTCCGTTTAGATCGGTTTGATAACAGGCTTATACAGAAGACTTTCAAGATTCTATCAGAGCAGTTCTACTCATAGTGTTAAAATAAAAATAAACCTGTGTTTTAAATTTGGTTTCTTTGATATTTTATAGTACTTTTTCATAAGAACCTGTTCATTTACCCATGTGAGCTATGCCACTGGGACTGTCACTAAAAATTTAAATCAGCGCCGCTAGCGGTGTGTAATGAAATTATTTTACGATTTAACAATAACATCTAGTAATAGCAATGTCGTGTTTAGTTGTTAATATCGCCAACCAATCTCTATTCATTGATTTGGTCAAGCTATATAATGATATAGTCAACAATCACTATTAAACTTTATGAAATACCGCCCTTCCACTTTCAATAATTATAAATTAATTTATGATATTATAAATTCTCAGATCTGACCAATACATATATAAAACTCTTTTTATTTAAGTTATAAGAATAATAGGTTTTGTACATACTAATTGCAATTTTTATGAGTTTATTTATAGATAAAAAAACTAATACTAAATGTATAGTTAGCAAATAGAAACTAAAAAATCCTTAACCTTTTATGATTTTCGATAGATATCATTACTACCTATCTATTTAAGTTGTAACTGGTATTGTAATAAAATATTCCAATCTTGATATCAAAGTCATTGAATTTCTTTCCTTCTATTGCGGACCATAAATAATTATCAAAAAGTTTCAATTTTTCAAATTATGAAACTGTTTGGGTTTAGAAACTCTTAATATAACAAATAATATCTTTATATAATAAAATATAAAATAATTATCAATCATGTACTCTTTGTATGTGATTGATAATAACCCCTGGGAATGAAGTGATTGACACCATTATTTTTATAGCATTGGGTGAGAAACGAGCACATAGTCCACCTAATGGTAAGTGGATGTTATTGCCCATAGACATCAATAGACAGATACACACCCCTGAGGACTAAGATGGAATGCACGATTCCAGTAAAAAGGGTCTCCGGTTCTCTACATTTACATTATGAAACACACAGTGGCGTAGCTATGCAAGTAAGGGCCCCGAGACAAAAATGAAATTGGGGACCTATTTGAACTAAACTAAATGTTTTAAATGTGTAAAACTACTATATAGTATGTGTAATGCAGCAGATACTATTTAATCGTACTTCCTAATATATATATATATATATTGACAAAACCACTATACGTAGAAATCTGGAAATGGGATAGTAGCTGCCTTTTATAACGTAGGCATCCACCAATAAAGTATGAAGAAAAATTCAACCTCAAAGGGGATGAAATAGAGTGATACAGTTTGTATGAAGCTTATTATTTTACGAGGCGATTGACTTTAAACTTACTAAAGGTACGTAATCTGTATATTACGTGTTAGAGTCACTCTGTATCTATATTATGTATTATGATTGTAGCAGGAATGGGTTCGCTCGACCGGGGTAGGAGAAACGATCTGTGGCAAACAAATGCTAGCATACCATTTTGCATAAACCGTTCTTTGCCCCTCAAGAGGAATAATCGTAACATGGCCTGTATATACATAACTACATACAGCTATCTATAGTCAACATGATATTGAGATTAGTTCAAGGGATATGATACCAGACGGCGACACTATTCATATTGGGTGACAAAAATCCTAGGAGATGGCTCTCTATATCTGTATATATTACTCTACTCTATGTTAGTATCGCTTCGGCTTTTGAAGGGGGAAGTTGTGTCGCTTAAGATCAGAATACACATTACGCAACAGGACGACGTAAAATTAAAATGGGAAATAACCGTAATAAAAATAAGAAGCGACTGGGTTGGCGTTAAGAAACAGGCATAAATATGATAAACCTAATGAAATAAGTATCTACTTACAGTATTAGTGATTACAAACATGTCGGTACATAGCATACGACGCGTGGGGAAATAGGGGTGAAATTAGAATTTGAGCTGACTTACTATATTCCCTTACGGAGATACATTAAAATAATCTAATAATATTAGAGATGGACAGAATATTCGTTTCATATTCGGTATTCGGCATACTCGGCACTTTACCGAATGTTCGTATTCGGCTGAATATTATAAATCACCGAACATTCGTTAAAGTGGTAGTTGGTTAGTAGTGATAGTGGTATTGAAATGTATGAATTGAGTAATGCCATGTCTTTCATAATTTTACTGTTGAAAGTATATTTTATTTATGGGTTATTTATGGTAAAACTACTTGTATAGCATTTTGTTTTTGAGCTACTGCAGATTTATTTCCAATTATAGCAAATAGAAAGCTTGATAAAATGTTTTTGGAATCAAACATAGAAACATTACATTACATTAGTACATTTCACTTTACTCTGATCGTCAGTTTCTCTAAAATAAGTGCCACTCATTTTTATCATATAATAATTTTTTTTACAAAAATAGTCAAAACATAAGCACGTGCCGCCAGTACTAGCGATGCAATAACATGTCAGGTGTGACGGGCAAGCGAGGGGCAGGATCCTGCGCTAATCCCGCGCGCCTTACGGTATAACAAGTTTCGAGTTTCGACATAAATTGCTTAGGTACCGAGGTGATCCTGCCGAATAATGTTTGGCCGAATATTCGGTTCGGTAAAAGTTTTACCTAACTTTCGGTCGAATATTCTTAAAAATATATTTCTAAATAAAATATTTATCTCTTAAATTTGACTCCCCGTAACCATTTTTATCTTTGAAATACTATGAACAGTGCTTTTTAAAACATGAATGACACCACATGTAAAGTGAACACGGGTGGAGCCGGGGCGGGATTGCTAATAATTACGTTAACTTTAAAGTTTGTTTGTTTGTTACGGTTTCACCTAAAAACTACTTTATGGATTTGGATGAAATTTACTACACCGTTTCATCCCGTTAGCGCCGTTTCATCCCTATAAAAGGACCCTTTTAATGTCGGTCCATACCAGGTGAACAAAATCGCGGGCGGAAGACAATAAAACTAAGAGACGATTTTATTTTAACAATGATGTTCAATATTTTGGAGGTGCAAGAAATTTTTGTGGTTTCATTTCAAGCCAAAAAGATTTCGAGAGAAAAAGTAAATAATCGTCTTTTTAAAATGCAATTAGGATATTATTTGTTAATTTTTTCAAACGTCGTTCATGGAGGCTGAGGGGCCCCTTAAGCTTGGTGCCCCGGGGCACTGCCCCGCCTAGCCCCAAGGTAGCTACGCCACTGGAAACACAGCAGCATTACGCTGCTATTTTACGCTGGTATTCTGTGAGAGTGTAGTTCTGCCCCGGTCAAGCCGACCCATTTGTGCTACAATTATAATATAGCTGCAGCGAGGCTCTACCTCGTAATAATGATGTTTCTCAATGTTTTCATATTTAATTGTTTAAAATATTATATTGTAAATTAATATTTCAAAAAAGCTCCGCTGAGTTTCTTGTAATTTCTTCTCAGGTTCAGAGGCTTTTTTCGAGGCTGTGGTAAAAGCATAAATTACTTTCAATAAGCTCAGTGGTTAACGCTCGCTATAAATATAACAGAACGCGAGTAACCCGGGTTCGATCCCCGCCGGCACCAATGAAATTGTTAATTGCAATTTTAAGTGCTGATTTACCAAGTGCTCGGCGGTGAAGGAAAACATCGTGAGGAAATCTGCATGTCTGAGGAATAAGAAAAAAAATATTTCGAAGACATGTGAAGTTCGTCAACACACATTTGAGCAGCGCGGCGGACACTTCCTTGCCCTAAACCCTCTCAGAAATGAGGAGAGGCCTGAACCCAGCAGTGGGACGTATATAGGCTGTAACTTTACTTTACTTTACTTTCAATAAGTATTTTAATATCTTTATTGGATAAAAAATTCTTGCAATTCACACTGCCTCCAGTTGCCAGTAAAATTCTCATATTTTATGCCTGGAAACTAGATGATTAAACCGTCATTTTAAAAAGTCGTGAGATCGGATGATGTCAACCGTTATTTGCCCTTTTAATTTTACAATAACTCTAAATGCAATTAGAAAACATAAATCGAACGCAGATTGCTTGCATACTCTTTAAATCGGCACCCAGCTCCTAGAGTATCACCACTATGCTATGTATACCTTTGATACTTGAAAAAATGGTAATTAAATGCCGATCGTTAACAGCAATAATAAAATCAGTATAATATAATCAGTAATAGCAATAATGGAAATATTAAAATCTTTTAACGATTTGTGCATACATGGTTAACAGCATAGATTATAAATGATTATTTTTTAATTGAAACTCCAACGAAAATGAGATTTTTGTATAAAGAAATTATTTTGCTTGCAATTTTATATCATGGAAGCGGTATGTTTTATAATATTGCTTACCTTAAAATATACAACGAAAGAGTTTTTTTTTAATATATATTATATTGATATTTTACAGCATTGCGAAGGTATAACGATGATGAATTCAAAAAAATTATTATAAAAGGTATAATGAAGAAAATTGAAAAAGTTGCAGATACACTTTCCACTGCATCAATTGAGAAAAAACCTAAAATGTTGGCACAAATAGAGGCAAAACTAGGTACCGCAGCAAAGCAATCATTCGGAGATGGGGGAGACAAATATGTCGAGCTAATAATGCAAGGGGTAAGATTAAGTGCGTTTAACGACACTTTCAATGTTCCTAAAGAAATTGATACATCTCAGTTTAAAGCAAAAAATGATATTATTTCTGAATCAACTGTCGATGCATATCAAAGTAGTGAACGTATTGTAAAAGATCATTTGGCTAAACAAATAACGGATAAAATTGAAGCCTTTTCAAAGATGTACATGATGAAGTTAAAGACATCTGACGAAAAACGTAACTTTTTAGAAAACGTTCGGAAAAAATTTTTAGACATGGTAAAGACAAAACATTTTGAAGCATTAAATGATAACGACATAGTGAATTATAACGAAATGATCACAAAAAGTATGAATGTTATTTTGAAAAGGAATCTCGAACAGAGCGCAAGAAGAATGGTATTTAGTCAGGAGAGACAGACCCAAAATTCCAGTGGTGAATGGTTGGAGTATAGGAAAGACAAAAATCATGAAAATGATGAATTAGAAAAGGAATGCGTCGTATCAATTGCAAAGACTTGTGCTGAAGTAAAATTGTTAAATAAATTTTCATGTCAGACTGGAGAAAAAAATATTAATGTAGAAGATGTTTTCGACAGGGTCGTTAACTGCTCAGAATCAGACGTTATAAATAGCACACATCAAGGTGCCATTATTTTCTCGCACTACACTCTTTACTTGTTTTCTTTATTTTATTTTAAATAATTCGAGTGTTATTTGAATAATTTATAGTTGTGGTTTCAGCTAATAAAATATTGCATGATGCTAAAAACACTTTATTCGAAATGAAGCAGTTGTTTGAGCAAAACTGTCTTTCGGATAAAATCAATGAAACTCGTACATATAGAAATATAATAAATGACTTAATAAAAGCTCAAATTAATGTTGTAAGTGATTTTCAAGATAGCCTTGATCCAAACAAAAAAATTGCAAATAATGAAGAAACGCTAAAAAAGGTTTTAGACATTTTGAACGCAATAGTTATATATCTGAGTAAAGGGATTTGCTCCCGACAAGAAAAAGCTAGTGAACTTGTAGCCAATGCCCGCCGGTTCAATCAGATTTTAGATGAGGATTTAGAACAAGTAATAATAGAAAGCGCTTTATTTCCGAAATCATGTGTTTGTGACAAAGATCGATGTATATCTCATAATTGTATCAAGTCTTGCACAAATTTCTGTATACTTCATTATAGTTTGGGACGATGGAGCTGTTCAGCTGTCATTGGAAATTCGAGCATCCATTTAAATGCAATTTGCGATGGTAAACTTGACTGTTATGATGAGTCTGACGAAAGTGAATGTAGCACAGGTAAGCAAAAGTCATTTTCGTTTTACTGTACCATTAACCGCATCGTAAATCAAGAAATATTTTCAGAAGTACTGTGTCAATTAACTACTTATTTAGATATTTTGTAGAGAACCCCGTCAAATATTACTATAGAACCATTGAGCAACACGGGGCTCCGATGGACCTGAGTGGAGCGCGTGCTTAGGCGTTCTCCTCTGTCTAATATAATAAAACTAGTTGCAGACGCACTTCTCACTAGATTAAATCTAGATGCGCGGCTGAATTGACGTGCAACAATAATATCGAATTGTACAGTTAGGTAATAAAGAGATCTACCCTACTTTTCATGTATAAGTAACTTTTAGTCATTTACTTGTTTTTAAACTACAAAATTATAATAATAACGATCGTCTTGTTTCGGATTTGTTTACCAACACAGGTCGCTCGCCCTCATACTATATGCAGATAAATCGAACGACTGATCCGAACCCGTATCCGAGTTGTGACTGTCACCGATACTGTTGTAATGTATCTTTGTGTGTGTAATTGATAGGTTGTTGTTTTAATAATTGTGATGTGTGAGTTTCGTAGTGACAGCCGATTGTTTTTGTGTGTGCAGATTTCCCCTGCAAAAATGACAGACAGTTCTGTTTCGGGGAAAAACACTATGGCTACTCTCCTCCGATTCGCCGGTGGCCCGAAGGTTTTCGGCAATGGTGTCTTTACTTAGCTAAGCAACTGCCAATTTGAGAACTTTGTTACTGACCTTTTTTGCTGTCGTTTTTTGACATTTGTTAATGATAGATGCTTATTATAGGCAAAGGAAGAAACAAATTCAAAGCTAACGAAGCATTTTTACAAACAATTAAAATTTTCGAAATGAAGATGGCATCAAAAGACTACGACCGCGTAAGAAATGACCTCCTTCGATTATATAACTCAGTAATTAAATTACAACACCTGAGCACAGCCCCGAATCCTAGACTCAATGATGTTAGAACATTAAGAAATAGATGTTTTGCACTGTTGACTTTAATCTATGAAAATTTTATGAGAAATTCTTACAGTAACTACGAGGCTGAAGAGATATATAAGTTTTTATATATTGTTAATACGAATTTAGTAACTGCTCTGAAACATACGAATACAGGCAATGTTAAAATTATTTCTTCATCTGGTTGTATATGTAGAAAGAACAAATGTATGATTCCCAAATGCTCGTTAAAATGCACTAGAGCCTGTTCAGTGGAAAATGTATTGAGTAGATATCACTGTAAAGATAGTCCGCAAAATCGTTCCATACCCTTGGAAGCTGTTTGTAATGGAAAAAATGACTGCAGACGTGAAGATGATGAGAATAATTGTAACGGTAAGTTTCTTTAAATATAAAGAAGGTTAGTTTACATGTAACTACAATTCTATTTTTTTAATACAGATATGGTTGTCTAGAAAACAAGCAATCTGATATAACAATTTTATAGGAGCAGTAGTTTGTAATATGATTAATAATGTTTTACTATCAAGCTTAAGAAATTTTAAGATTTATCACTCATGCTTATAGAAACAAAACAAGTAGTTGGACCAGTAGGTACCATCTTTATTCTAAGGGCACATAGGCCCTGACAACGAATCCAAATTGTTAAAAACCTTGATTATGTAGGTATATATTTTTATGTAAACTTTCCATGTCTCAGGAGCCGCTGCAATGTATTGTTACAGTTTATAAAATAATATAAGACGGCCGTATATTGGACATATTAAATACGTGTACCTGTTACTATTACATTATAATGTCTACGTGTACATTTTTTCAAATTAGGTTCTTTTATTTTTAAAGTTGTTTATGTACCGGTGAGGAGGTTTCCGATTTTTACGTGGATGGAAATAATGAAATAAGTTAGTTATATTGTTCTTAGCAACGGGGCTCCCGTTGATATAGAAAGAGAGAAGATATAACTATAGAGAACAATATAACTTATTGTAATAATATAACTTAATAATCTTGGCAAGATTAACTAGAGTAAGCGATATATTTATGATTAAGTACTTGACAAATGCGACAGCGGGTGGATATATGGTTTCTCATATTGTCTTAAAGTTTAATTTAGCTGTATAGCCAAGTTCATTTGTCGACAAATCGAAAGAATCGAGTCGAAAAGTCGAACAACGAATGGTTATTTTTGGGTTTTAAATTAAAGTCATCATAAACAATTTTAGTGCCGGCTTGTGGATACTGTGGTAACGCTTTTCATGCCCATTATCTCTATGTCCGTTGTCTAGATCTCAGTTATGGGAAGCAATAGTCTAGGATGTTTCTTTAAATCCTCTTAGTTCCACTGAAAAAATAATTAACCGTATTTCATTTTTTCATAATATTTTACTATGACATCAAAATGCTCGTAGAAGGCAACACGATGCAACGAACACCAGCGTGCTAAGACTTCTTGAGTTTTCGATGCAGCTTAGCCCGTGACTGGATTAGGACATATATTTAATCGTCAGTTCATTTCCAGCTAAGCGTATGCCACTTGTGATTTTTACTTATGCAGTTTTGATTTAGAAATTTGAAAGTGGTGAATTTAACTTCTAATACACTACATTAAAACGTATCATCGTTAGCTGACTGACGAATCTCAGGCATATTTTACTCGTCGTTCTTTTTCGTCTTCTTCATCAGTCCTTATTCAGTCCATAGTCAGACGTGGGCTTTTCTTATTGTAGGTAGGATTTGCCCCTGGCAGGTGGGTTATCATTCGCAGTACCAGACGTCTCGCAAGGTTGATTCTGCTTCCCATCACCGGTCAGTATCATACTGACACGGTTAAGGTATCCTACCTTGAAAATGAATCGTAGTTTTTAGGGCGTGGCGTATCCCTTTGTCGGCGAAGCTCACGGGAAAGTGAGGGAGTGTCAAAATGAAAGTGATGCAATGACTTCATAATACCAAACTAATACCGAACGCGCGCTCGGAAATAAACTACGTAAGCGACAAACAGCATTTTTATTTGTTTTTAAAGAAACTTTGTTATGGATTTAAAAAAATGATTTATGAAAACTTAGATATGATTATTTACTAGCCTTAAAAATAATTCCATGAACTTATTCGTAAAAATATTGTGGTGTCATGGAGAAAAGTAAATAATTAGAACCTACTTTGCAATTTTTTTTTTCTATGGAGAAAATTACAAATCGTGTTTTCTTTAATGAAATTCAAGGTCGTATAGTCCAAAATCATATTCCAAAAATTGGGTACGTAATCTATAAAACTTAAAAAAATATGTGCAATGGAAAAATCACCAAATTTTCGAGATATCATCTTAAGAGATGGCTATGCCGGCAACTATTGGCATAAGATCCTTCTGGCATTTCCCAATATTCGCCTCTTACGACACCCAAGAGACGAAATAAGTTGATGGATTCACTTACATAGTCAGTGGAATTTTATTCGATAAACGGAACCAGCAACGTTGAAACTGTTGAAATTTTTAAAGGAACCCGTCGCTGGTCTGGGTATTTTACGCGAAATGGGAATGGTATATTTTTTGTAATTTAGCACGAAATTAACATGCGACATTCGGTAGACAAAAAGTTGCTTTATATGAAACTTTTTGGCTTTATATCAATACCTATAAAAAGAATCAAAATTTAATTATATAACTCGCTTTTCATAATATTGGAAAATATATGAGGTATTGATTAAAACTACTTTTACGGATTTTATCGCGTATAATTCACTGGACGAAATGTCTATGGTTTTGTTTATGAAACATAGATCGGTACGTTTTTGCTGAATCACCGTCATTAACAACTTTTTTACTCGCCTGATTAAAGATCTTAGCGCTTCCTCGAATGTCTTTTTTAGTAGATATCTTGACACATGTAGGAATGAGATTATGATCTCTGCATCTCTTCAAGAAATTTAAAGCTGTTATGTATCTTGCGCGCTTGGTGTTTAGATCTTCTAATCGGCGTATTTTATTTGCTATATCCAGTCCGTACTGGTTTACATAATGATTTCTTATATTTACGTGAATACTACACATTGATTAAAACTACTTTTACGGATTGTATCCCGTAGAAATCATAATATATGGGGTCATTTTATACTTTCGCGGTCCCCCCGTTTTTTGGCTTTAGAAAATCGAAAAATCATCCGATTTCGATGATTTTTTTTAAATCTTCGTTTTTATGGTGGATTTATGACAAAAAATATGGAAAATATCCCACCTGAAGATTTCATATAGTTTTATGACTTTAAATGAAATCATAAACGCACTTCTTCGAATACAATCGTTCATAACTTTTTTGCAAAGCATTAAACGAAGTTTATATATTTTTTAATCTACACAAAAACACGAACATTTAAAAAAAACATTGAAAAATGTTTGTTTATTAATTTTTTATCTCACTCAAAGTTTTTATATGGTTTTCTGACTTTAAAAGTTCTCATAAACCCTCCAGAAAATCTAAATAATTATAAAAGTTAATATTTTGGTGTTTTATTGAGTGTAAGATCGAATGAAGCAAGCTCGGGACTTAGGGCATCCCGACTCGGACAGGTTAGGTTAGAAGGAGATGGCGGATCGAGTGAGCGTGCGAATAACCCCGCCATCTCCTTCGTGGTTATTTAATAAACCACTCAGATATAGCAGAAGCAGGGCTCCATCGACCAGGCTTCCCTTGATAGCGCTACGTTGAGTGGCGTGGTCACCCCAACTCTCCGTGTTTTCATTTCCTAGAGCCAAAAAACGAGGGGACTGCGATAGTATAAAATTACCATATATGGATAGGGAATGTCAAAGTTTTTACCCGGCGATTAAGAAATTATATTTTTTTTATTTCGATTAATAATTTAATAGAGTATTTCATGTGTGCATATATTTTTTCGGAGTATTATTTATATATACTATAATATATATTATTAGTACTATTTAAAGAAGTATCCATCACGAGTGTTAAAATCGTGTCTAAAACTAAAATACGATATTTATGTCCAAAACATTGAGCTGGATGCGATTTGTTTTTAGCGGAAGTTTGTCGACGCCATCATTTATTTTTCCTCCGTCAGAATATTCAAGATGTGGGAAAGAAGCGAGACGGTACAACATTAGGGGAGATGCTTAAATTTTGGAGGACGAAGGTATCGTTCAGTCGTTGTTATATAACTGATCTTAAGGTAATTTTGCTAATCATTGTGATTTCTGCAGCCAAATTCAAACAAAGAACACTACAGATGCGTTGTTACCCCTTAGGACTAACACCTCACTTCAAGCACCGCTACTATGCGGCAGTAACAAGAGCGTAATACCTACCCAGATGCTTTTTTAGGCAGAACAAAAGTCCTACCACCTCAGGACTAGTTCAAAGTTTAGTGCTAGAAAAATTATCTTAGAGATAAAGACACGTTAAATGAATTAATAAATAACAATATTTTATCCGTACCGTGGGAGACGGATATACGATAAGCCAAATATATTATGGAAGTATAACAATCTCTTTACACCGGGAGGCAGGAGTAAAATAAATAGACTGGCGACGGTGAGCCGAGTTCCAAGCGTGATTGTAAAGGCGAGTCCTCTCTATAACGGAAAAAGGTTATATCCAACAGTGAACTTTTCTTTATAGAATAAGGAAGACAAACAAACACACAGTCCACCTGTGGATAGTAAGTGGATGCTGTGGCCCATATACATCTACATTTATCCTCGATTAAGAATCAAGACGCAGTAAAAAGTTCGAGTAAAAAAGGGTCACCGGTTCACACACCATACGAAACTATTACCATATGAACCATTAAGCTGCTATTTTACGCTGGTATTGTGAGATCGTGGTCCTTCTCCGGTCGAGCCGACCCATTCGTACTACAACCAAAGTTTAAGAAAAACATCATAACATAACATAAATACTCACGCCTGTCACCCAGAGGGGTAGGCAGAGACTACAGACTTCCATTTAGCACGATCCTGACATACCCTTCTCGCCTCTTCCACATCCATATACCTACGCATACATGCTCGTCGGTTAAGGGTACTCTTAATTTGGCCCATTTTTAGTATATCGCCAATTTGGTCGACAAACTTCCGCCTAGGACGTCCCTTTCCGACTCTTCCATTCACTTCTGCAACATATATTTGCTTTGTCAGTCTTTCCGCATTCATTCTTTCTACATGACCAAACCACCGAAGCATTCCTTTCTTAATCCTGGTCACCGCATCATCTTGCAAACCACACTCTTCACAGTTTAAGAAAAACTTTTGATAAATCCAAATGTGCATGCCCTAAGCGCTCATGTTATACGTCAATTTTTTTAAAGTATTTTAAATACACACAAGTTTACTTACAAAGTTTCAAAGGCACAAGTTTTCACAAATAACGTTATTACTATTACTTCTAATTTTCCGATAATTTTATGTCAACCGTCAATAAAAACAGTTAGGAAAATCCAAAAGTGCTTATATGATTGTGAAAAAATGTAGAATACAATAATTATAACTAAACAAAACAAAATTGAACAGCCATTTACATACCATAACTTCCCACAAAATAGATGAAGAGATTAAAAAATAGATAGAAATAGGTTGAACTATTGATATTTTCAAAAGTTATCGTGTTTAGCCCTCCATGCGGACTTGATTAATCTAAACCATAAGCCACTAACACCACTTTTTAAATGTAAAAATAGCAATTAAGCAATTTAAAATAACATAATAAATTCAACAATCATTAATATTTCTGAAAATGTGTTTTATATATCATTTATATGTTCAATACGATTGTTAGATACGATTTCATGTGACAAAACGTTGGATTTTTGATTTTTTAGGCGCTAGTAGAACCATTATGCCTGTTTGAAAGTTATATTTCTCACAGGAGACATAGGGTAAAGGTTGGTGACCTGACTAGTCTAGATTCTCCCATCACTTATGGCGTGCCACAAGGCAGCGTCCTCGGCCCTAATCTCTTCTTAATATATATAAATGAATTATGTAATCTTAATTAATTGCCGATGATACAATTCTAGTTTTTCATGGTAAAACTTGGGAGGAAACTAGAATCAAGGCTGAAATGGGATTGCAACGGGCAATACAATGGCTTCAAAAAAACATACTGACACTAAACGCATCGAAAACTAAGTTCATTACTTTTGGTATAGCACAAAATAACATTCCTAGTAAAATACACATTAAAGCCCATACTTGTGTTGTAATATTAATCCACCTATAACATCATGTCAGTGTATAGTATTAGAACGTACAACCACAATAAAGTACCTTGGCGTAATTTTGGATCAAACCCTAACGTGGATCATCACAATCATCGTCATTACAGCCCTTCACAAGTCCACTGCTGAACGTAGGCCTCCCCCAAGTAACGTCACAAAGCACGGTCCTGAGCCACCTGCATCCATCGACTTCCTGCATGTCTTACCAGGTCGTCACTCCATTTAGTGGGGGGTCGCCCTACACTACGCCTACCGGTACGAGGCCTGCCACTGTAGAACCTTTCTTCCCCATCGGTTATCGGTTCTTCGAGCTATATGGCCGGCCCATTGCCACTTCAGCTTACTAATCCGATGGGCTATATCGGTCACTCTGGTTTTACTGCGGATATCCTCATTTCTGAGTCTATCACGCAGAGAAACTCCGAGCGTAGCCCTCTCCATAGCTCGCTGAGCGACCTTGAGCGTCCTCATACGGCCAGCAGTGAAGGACCACGTCTCAGATCCGTAAGTCATCACTGGCAACACGCACTGGTTGTACACTTTAGTTTTCAGAGATTGAGGTATACCTGACGAGAAGATGTGTCGTAATTTCCCGAACGCTGCCCAGCCGAGTTGAATCCGTCGATTGACCTCTCAGTCGAAGTTGGACTTACCTAGTCGGACTATTTGTCCCAGTAAACGTACTCGTCAACAACTTCGAGCATAGTGCTCCCAACAACTACCGGCATAGGTGTGACATGGACATTAAACATGATCTTTGTTTTGTCCATGTTCATCTTAAGACCTATCCGTTGGGAGACACTATTGAGGTCATTGAGCATAGTGCTAAGGTCCTTCAGCGATTCGTGGATACCACAAATTAAAATGATATCAGAAAAAATTCGCAAACTGATTTATATTTTCAAAACATTGCGCCATGTTGCTGACATTGAACTTTTAAAATCAGTCTACTATGCCATGGCCCAATCCATAATATCATATTGCATAAGAGCATGGGGAGGTGCTAAAAAATCTCATATAATAAGAGTTGAAAGGGCCCAACGCGCGTTACTTAAGGTTATGACTTTTAAACCATACCGATTTCCCACTGCTGAATTGTATACTATGTGCGATGTGCTGACGGTAAGACAACTGTACGTAGTTGATACGATCTTATCCCAACATAAGAAAGTCTCTTACGACCCAAAACAACCCCAAACGCGAAAGAAGTACAGAGTGTGCTCCAATATTCCCTTTAGGACTTACTTTATTAAAAAAAAGTTTCAATGTTTTATTGGTCCTTTTCTATATAATAAAATTAACCGAATGATTAATATACATCCGCTTAATAAATACAATGCAAATGACAATTTGGCTTAAATCACAAACTTATGACGATATTGAAAATCTATTTACAATAAAAAATGAGCTGGGTCCTAAAATTTAAACTTAAATTAAAATAGAACAATATTAAATAATTATAAACACCTATTAACACGTTATTAAAAAGTAGTAATTTGTAAAGCGTTTAAGTGTATATTCTACGTTAATTTACTTTAAGGAAGAAACTGGCATTTAAGACACATGCTTGGCCTAGTTTAAATGCTAGCAATTTTTATCTTATAGTGTATACTTTTTCGTTCCAATGTTCCAAATATTAAGATTTATTCAATTTAAAATTAAAATTTCAATTTTGTACTATTAAATACACAACATGAATTACATTCTTAATAAATGTTCACAGTTTTAGTGGTGAAACTTGTTTTTTGTTCGAATGAAACTATAACCTATGCATTCAAGTATCTATTGTTTTAAAAATGTTTGTTCTACCCGAAACTTTAATCTTAAGATTAGATTATAAGTGTGTACCATATTTTGTTTATCAATAAACATTATTATTATTGTTATTAATATGATTAAGTTTCCCCTAAATTATTTCTATACCTACTTAGTTTTTTTAAATAAAATTAAGTTCACAGTTTTCAGCCTCGCACATATTATGTCGTTTATATCTTGACAGGTCACACAAATGCTTCTAGTAGCTGAAAAACGCGAAAGGCCAACTCCTCTCATCTTCAAGCAAATTGTCAGGGATGTGCTGCAAGATTTGGTTTACGCCTATGCATCTTTAGACATTAGCAGAAGGAAAAATACACATAACGATGTTCAAGAGTTTTTCGATGTCGCTCAAATAGTTGTAAATGCTTTGAAAACTTGTGGGAAGTGAATAAATGTTTTAATTTAATGTTTTAAATGCCATTATCAGTACAATGATAGTAAAGTTAAATTAAAGTACAGATCCTATATCCTATAGGCGTCACAGTACTGGGTACAGGCGTGCTCTCATTTCTAAGAGGGTTCAAGGACAAGAAAATATCCACTGTATTGCCTCAATGTATATTGGCGAATTTCACATAGCATAGCTTCGAAATACGTTTTTTTAGACATGCAGGTTTCCTCGCGATATGATTTTTATTTGATTTTGATTTTTATAGCTTAACCTCAGTGCTACCAACACCTCTGACTCAGTAATGTTAGATTGGTTTAATATAAAGTTTTTATGCAAACAGTATTCTTATTTCATGTCATAACCTATACATGTAATAAATTTGTAGAAAAGTTGCTTGAAGTGCTAAGATTTCTTAAAAAAAAAGCAATCCTAAGGGATTCAAATCCATGACACGAAACACAGGTTCTCTAAATCACTCCCACACAGTCACTATGAAATGTGTGACAAATTTCGTATGACTTGTTAATTGCTATTTATCTTAAATAAAGTAAATAATTATGATTGATGCTTTATTTTATAAATATATGTATCGTTGTTTGGAATACTTAGAACAGTGAGAGTCGTCAATATGTGCAGCGTACACATTATGCGAGTAATATCTCTGCAGTTGCAGACAAGTGTAGACGAAGTCTGTCGAGAAAAAAATGTAAGTTCGTCTAGTTATTTACATTCATTTATTTGGAAGCTATTTTTTTACTTAGTTAGTTTAGTTGTAGCAGGCGCGATTGCTGCTCGTGTGATCCTGGGCGATTTCGGATAGGGTCATATTCAATTATTGCTTTGTTTTCTCAAGAAATTCTCAGAAACAGCTCGGAGCTAGGAAGTTAGCAGTGTTTCACTCCCGCACCTTGGAAAGCGCCTGTCTTGGGCCTCGTAACACCCCGGTCGTATGGGATTGCCCGCTCTCCCATCAGGCTGTGAGAGATAGGGAGTAGAGTGCACCTATGATTGCACAATCATTCAACACACTCGTGCACGAGGCTGCGCTGATGACTAGTATACGTTAATATTGGCCGCTGTGACCAAACTTTGGTGTGGAGGACATTAATATAAAGCATTTTATCTTAGTCGTTTTTGCATTGCTATATATATTTTGAGTTGTTATCAGAAAGATGCTTCTGCCCATCGTCCATTTCAAATACCATCTGTCGACTCTTACGACAGTCACGGAACTATGGTTTATATATATATATATATATATATATATATATATATATATATATATATATATATATATATATATACAACACGTAACATAATTAACGCACTTTGAGAAAGTAGTTTCTTCAGAATCGTTTACTGAATCGATTCCTATCATTTTTAATATAGGTAATTTTTTATCCCAAAAATAATTAAAACTACGTAAATTACAGTCACCCTAAATCTGTAAAGTCAAAACAAACTGAAATGGACCGTAACTAAAGGCAATAAGACTTTTAAGAGTGCAGTTTTATTTGTATCATTACTAATTCTGTCATTCAATAAAAATAAAGAAAAATGAACTTTATTTCAAGCATGTTAAAGTTTTTGTTTTTGGATTTGTACTGATTTGCGTTTGTGGATTTGTACTGTGACCACAACATTCTTGCGGAATTAGTACAACTAATTTGATAAATAATCAGTGCATATAAATGTTTAACTAAAAATTCAGTGTATGTATAATGATTATAACATAATATACTAATTAGGGTGTCTGAGGGTGTGCGTTAATTATGTTACATATTGTATATATATATATATATATATATATAATGGAAACGAATAACGATTTATATGATTTTCTTTGACGAGATAGTAGTTTATTTTTAAGTTAATCTAGATAAGCCATCCTGAGAAATTTTTTTTCTAACACCGAGTAATGCCGAAGTTACGAACAAAGGATAAAACGAAACTTAAAATTGCTATTAATTTTTTAGTAGTGTTAAATCTAATAACGGTTTAAAACCTATGTAAATTAAAATAGGTATGAATGTGTAGAATAGATGCAATGCAAGAATTTTTATGGGCATTTATTTAGTGAATAATTAAATAACATGACCATAAAAGATTCTTAAAGATGCTTCTTGCGACTGAGCGACTGATGATCTGTTTCGAGTAATAAAATAAAATAACGTGTCTTATTAGTTTGAAAAGCACTTCCCGCCCGCGCTCAATTACGGGCGCTATCCTAACCACTAATACCAACACCGCTACACTAGGAAAGACACCACCGTCGAAAACACGACTCGCGTTTCGCCTCTATACTATCATCAGGTAAATTTTATACACCATTGCACAGTTTATTTCACCTGAGATTGCCTCGCTTGGATGAATGGATATCTGCAAAGTAACGCCTGATTCTATTAATAATCATAAAAAATTCTTCAAGTCATAAACGTTCGCGTGTTAATTCTATGCCTGTTGTAGCAATCAATTATTTATTTAGCTTATTTTTTTTTCTCCAAGGTATTTTAGCTTGATATTCCTCAGTTTCCCTGTCAGCTTCACTTCGGCCATGTTTCGCTGGCTGGAAGACGACACTTTCGATTGTGTGGTTGGCATCGCTGTGGACAATAAGCCAGTCGGCGTCGGCACCTTCGTCCACGACCGTCTAGTTATCACATCTGCAAATCCTTTAGCCAACGTCCAAAAGCACAGAATAAAACTTTTCGCCATTAATGGTAATCCGGAGAGTGCTAGGGAAGTTAACGTCGACTATATCACAGTTGATAAAGAAAGGCAGAGGGAATGGATAAGAGTAGGTTTTGACAAGAGACATAACACGAATCGTGATATAACACTTATATCAGTAACGGATAATGAAACAGTATTTATCAAGCATCAGACACTGCCAAGAAGACCGTATTACTTGCCATTGGCAAATAAAGAAGCAGAGGCGGCCATCGCTGGCTGGCAGTTCGCTGGTTTTGGGTACGCAAGCCGACGGCATGTGAAGAATAGTTCCATCCTCAAAGCGGTTACGTACAGGCACCCTGTGCTAGTAGATTGTAAAAAATATTTGCCGATAGCTTGGGGGCACTTCATATGTATACTAAATGTGGAGAATTTTGCTGGAATACAATCTGGAGCACCATTGATACACAAGAACTCAGTATACGGTGTCGGATCTTTCTCATTTGTAAAAGACAATAGTAGCATATTGGTTTTTACAGACGTAAGAGCTTATAGGGGTAAACTGTTATATTTGTATACAAGGAAGTGGTGGTGGGGATGAAGTAAAGAGTGTTCTAAATTCAAACTTATCAAAGAGAACTGTGTCAGAACTTTTTCATTGCCTTGATGGAACTATTTTAAATGTACCTAGTTCTGTATGTTATTTTTGTAAATAAACTATTTCTCACTTAATTTATTTATGATATCAAAATGATAAATAAACTTACAGGCCACCTGATGTCAAATATTGACTATGGACTAAGGACTCCTGAACCCAACTAAATACAAAGATGGCCGCAGATGCGTTGGTACTCCTAACAACTAGGATAAAATTCGTGTAATTACTGTACCTCAAGTAGGTTCTCTGGCTCTAGCATATCAAACCAGAACACAACACTGGATAAACATCTGCTTCGCGGTAAAAAAAGTCGAACGGGATAATAGAAGAAATAAGTTCCGGGTCTGGATGTTTGTCCTTGTGCAATTTGTTGCAAACTGCCTCCACGATACAGGAGCCTCACCCCCACACCTAGTGTGGGGGTGAGGCACACTTAAAAAAACGCAAATGAAATCCTCGGTTTGGAGGTATACAAGATGGGCAGCACCTTCTTAATAATAAATCAAAATAATAAAAACTGTGATTGTCACACCGCAAATATCCCCTTTTTTAAGGCAACCTATTGGAGAGGCTTTCAAGCTTTTAAAATCATCGGGTAGGCAGATGAAATTAATCAATTACTAAGGATATTATTTAGGTTTAGGACAGAGCGGCCCGTAAAAGATAGAAGCTAGGCAGCACAAAATAAAGAGGTTACCAGTTCTTAGCTGGTGGACAGACAATATGATACTGTGAACTGTACCAGTGTTGGCGACAACAATCACCTACGTGTACCTCTTTATATAATGGACGCCACACACATCATTCCAACTGATCAGTTCAAACTGAAACTGTTGATATCTTTTAAAATATTAAATTTTCGATATATTCATAATTATAAATATATTAATATCGGAGTTTTATATATAAGTTTATTTATCGATATATCGAAAGTCCAATATTTAAAAAAATATCAACAGTTTTAGTTTGAACTGATCAGTTGGAATGATAAGTTGAACCGACCGTGTGTGGCGACCATAAGCGATACATCAGCCACTTATAGAAGGAAATAAGAGAGAGAGAGAGAGAGAGAGAGAGAGAGAGAGAGAGAGAGAGAGAGTGAATTTCCGGACATGTGTGTTCATTTAGAGCCCTGTAATATATGTAATTCATAATATTATCATTTATTCATTACAAACTACCAAAAGTATACTGCTGAGCATAGTCCTCCCCCATACATTGCCTAATGGAGGTGATATTTGCCACAGTTGCCACGTTAAAGGTTTGCTAGATACTGTTACGATAATATATACAAGAATATTATATTTTGAGCGCGACGAAATATTTAAAAAAGTATGAATAATTGCTTCATGTTTTCTTACTTTCGTAAAATACTATGCTTTCATGTAACGTACTTTATATTTTAAGGATATCTATTTCAAATAAAAATGATTAAAACCTAATCACAACTATACTTGGAATTTGATGATGAGTATTAAATGACCAATCAAAACCACGTAATTACTTTCATTTATCAAAATTTCCAGTACAATTAGATCTATACATTTACTTGGTATCAGGTGATTTGCATAAATATGAAACGAAATGATAGCACCGCTTACACTACCTTAGTATAGTTTCAGACGCGAGACGAAGACAACATGGCTGGTGAGTGGAACGTGATATATATACTGATAAGATTTGTGATAGCAATATCAAAGAATTGTGTAATGTAACGACCCGATTAACTAACATCATAAAAATCTATTTACAATTTTCTATTTAGCGTGAAATTGGTTTCTTTTTAATGCATTCTGGAGTGTTTATGTTTACTTGATGTAGGTAATTTAAAGATTAAAAACTGTGTGTGATTGCATTTATTAAAATTTGACCCGTGTAATTATTAAATTTTCTGTATTTTCATTCATTGTGTAAAAAATTCAAAACGCTAAATATTAATATATAACTGATATTGAAACCTTATTAGGTCAGTTTTAGACCACGTTTCAACATTGACAAATCTTTGAAGCATATTGTTATATTTCTACCAATCTTACACATTTTTTAAATGTCTTGATATCTGAAATGTGCACTGCTAGTAAGTGTACGTATGGACTGAATACCTGTATTAAGTGGCAAATTAGCAGATTTATTAAAATCCTGGAATTGTTATATGTTTTCAAAAGTTACAGGACTTCTCAATCAAACAATCATCAAACGTTAGAATTGTGGAGCTACTTAGAACAGGTATAATAGTCGATGGTTGGATTTAAATATAAACTGTATAATAATTTGGGATTTTTGCCGCTAAATTTGACATAACCATTTTTTATCGACGTACCTACAACAGAGTACTTTTTATATACCTAGCTAACTGCTCAGACTGTGGTGTCTCGTTGATCTATACATATAGCGCTATGCACGAGTAAAAAAAGAAAGGACTCCGCACCGCGATACTAGCAAGTGAAGCAAAATTTGTGCTGTATATATGTGTGCGTAATGTGCGTAATAAATAATGTAATTATTAGAACTGTGAAAGGTTTTTTTTAAATGTGGTATTATTTTTGCACCATTTAACGACACACGACGGCATTATTTCAAATTTTGATACGCGATTGTAATAGCGGCCGATCGGCTTATCTTCGTGTGAGTATGTGCATGTAGGTTCGTATTTACACGTAGCTGGCTTGTTTTGGGGTGCTTCATTTTTTATGTCCTTACTTTTTTTACTCGTCCGTGAGCGCGTTGATTTTCAAAAGTTTTTGATTGTTTGATTAGCCGACTAGGTACTTATAAGCTTATAGGATATTTTTATTATTATTTAATAGTAGTATGTTAATGTAAAATAAAAAATATATATACGTAACTGCTGAAACTGCTCGAATCGAATAATATTATATTGTCATTTAGGTGAAAATCCTGTTAAATATACGTATAATCCAGATGTTGTTCATAATCACCGTGTAGTGGTGTGGCGTAAAAGAATTCATTAACCCATTTTATCCCGCGGGTACGAAACAGGAGATACGCGGCAGCAACTAAAAAAATAATAACGAAAAATAACAAAAATTGTGTTTTTTTATAAGATAGGATGACAAACGAGCACACAGTCCACCTGATGGTAAGTGATTGCTGTGGCCCATAGACATCTACATCTATCCTCGATTACGAATCAAAATGCAGATGCGTTGTCATCCGTGAGGACTTAGGTGGAATGCCTCCTTTCCAGTAAGAAGGGTCTCCGTTTCTCTACACTCACTATACGAAACACAGCAGCATTAAGCTACTATTTGACGCTAGTATTCTGTGCTTGTGTCCTTCCCCGGTCGAGCCGACGCATTCGTGCTACAATTATACTACTAATATAACTGAAGCATGGCTCTACCAAGCTTCCGCCTGGCAAGCGTGGCAAATATGGCGATTATGGTAAGAGGCAATCTATATGGGAGGCCTAGGTCCAGCAATGGTCTTTTGATAGGCTCTAAAAATCAATGAATGAAACATAAGTATCATAGTAAATATTATCCAAAAACAAATCAAATATTATATTATGATCTAATCTACAAATGAGTATTGAAACCGCTTATAATCTATAACTTTTATAGATATCATTCTGAAAAATTGAGGGTAGAAGATAGGTTTCTAGCATACCGTCATATAAATTATGTTATAAATGGTAAATATATCGTTACTCATAGGTTAGGTCATACATTAGGTACAGGCATGCCGTGGTAGCTCAGATGGTTAACGCTCGCTGTAAATATAACAGATGCAATTTTAAGTGCTGATATACCACGTGCTCGGTGGTGAAGGAAAACATCGTGAGGAAACCTGCATGTCTGAGGAATAAGAAAAAAATTATTTCGAAGACATGTGAAGTTCGCCATCACAAATTGGGACAGCGTGACGGAAACTTCCTTGCCCTAAAACCCTCTCAGAAATGAGGGGAGGCCTGTGCCCACTAGTGGGACGTATATAGGCTGTAACTTTTACTCATAGGTCCGGTTCTTTCAGTTCGTCCTCCATTAATTTAGTGTTAAAGTCGTTATCAGTTGACTTACACCTTCTAAGTTATTTTGTTTTATAACATTGGGTGACAAACGAGCACACATTCCACTTGATCTCTACCACTAAGTATTTTCTGTCGGTTTAGTCAGTTTACACCTTTGTGTCCTTAGGCTAACAAATAAAAGATAAGACAGAGCACTATTTGAAGTGACGCCGTCACTTTTTCCTTTATCAGCATCACAAAAAAGAAAGAATTTCTTTCTCACAGAACATAATACTTCGTCTCTCTTTAATAGCCCGTATAAGTACGAGTACACCGTTGGACGCACCCATAGAATACTATAATACATACATAATAGAACGGGGGAGTGGGCAGAGCCCGTGTAGCCACTAAAATGTCACTAACACGTCAATTCACACGTATAAATATCAACACGAGATGTGTTTTGACGTTACAATCGTTTCCATGCTTCCTTAAACGCCAAATTGCACGCTATTTAGAAATAGATATGTATTAAAATCTGTCTGTCAACACAGCGCATCGGGTTTGTATTAGTGATAATACAACGTTATTGCTTGTATGTGTGCTCCCGGCGACACCTATACAAAATAAGGTTGACAGCCATTCTATTGTGTATTATAGTATTCTACGGACGCACATATGCACTTAACTTTCCTGGCATTGCTTCCTATTTCTGTTCGTGAAGGTCCGTTACAATTGATTCATCCATTCCGAAAATCGGTAGACAGACAGACAGAAATCAAAAAAATTAAAAATGGACTAGCTGTACCCCGCGACTTCGCCCGCGTGTCTTTAATTAAAAAAATTATTACGGTTAGATTTCATGGGTTTTAATTTTTTTGCGCGGAACCACAAATCTTTCAAAAAAGTAACTTAATGCTTATAACATCAGCTATCTGCCAGTGAAAATCCCGTCAAAATCGGTCCAGCCGTTTCGGAGATTAGCCGAAACAAACAGATAAACAGACAAAAATTTTGACAATTGCTTTTTGTAATTAGATTAGTACAGTATATACTTTAATATGCATTTAGTAAAAAGCTGTTATTTTGATATTATAAACAGACACTTATATTTTATTTATTTGTATAAATAACAGATATACATACATGCAAATATCCAATTTGCATGTATGTATATCTATTATTATTATACATTACAAACAAACTCTTAACAATCATTCCAATGATTTCATTTTAGCACTAAATACAAGTTTGATTCATGTTCATCTTATCGCTGCAGCGCGATTTATCAGATACGGGTAGATAATAAAGACAACGTCTCTATGTTCACTTACGACATTATAATAAATCCTGCACATATTGTAAATTTTTGTTTGTAAATTAAAGAACAGAAAGCAATCAGGAGGACGTTAACATCGCCATTGTAATGTTGGTAAAATGGTGATCCAATTAGAATTTATAGATAGGACAAACATTTGCCTTGTTTGTTGACTTTTGTAAAATAGATGCACGTGACAAGTAAATTACATCGTAAACATAATATAATACTATTGTAGGTATAGCAGTTCAGTTGGAGCAATGTAGTCTTTAGAAACTTATTATATATACTTGAAGCATACTTAATTTATCAACATTACTAAAACAATCATGATGCGGGTGTAAGAGATCTCATCACCCCGCATCGTACCTATGGAAACGGCAGAAATGTATAATGGCCACATAAAAGCCAATTAAAGTAAATTTCACTGTGTCGGTGTACAAATATCCACTACCCCATATTGTGGGAGTAGTATAAGGCGATAGAAGTAAAGTGATACATGAGAGGGGCAGCAGCATCGTTTTCCTTCACCGCTGAGCACCTGGTAAACCAACACATAAAATTGCATTTAACAATTTTATTGGTGCTATTGGGTATCGGGTATCGAACCTAGGCTGTTCGCGTACATGGAAATGAGAGAGGCTCATTGCCTCCAGTGGACGAATACATGTTAGCACGGAAGGAAAGATTGTTATACATTAGGAGGCTCATGCCCACCAGTGGACTAATACATGTTGGCACGGAAGGAAAGATTGTAATACATTAGGAGGCTCATGCCCACCAGTGGACTATACATGTTGGCACGAAGGAAAGATTGTAATACATTAGGAGGCTCATGCTCACCAGTGGACTAATACATGTTGGCACGGAAGGAAAGATTGTAATACATTAGGAGGCTCATGCCCACCAGTGGACTAATACACGTTGGCACGGAAGAAAAGATTGTAATACATTAGGAGGCTCATGCTCACCAGTGGACTAATACATGTTGGCACGGAAGGAAAGATTGTAATACATTAGGAGGGCATTGCTGAACAAAAGCTCCAAATACTGCCACAACGTCCGTACCGAGTCACCTGATATTATAGTTTTTTTTTTATACACAGTAAGGGTGACAAACGAGCACACACTCCACCTGATGGTAAGTGGATGCTGTAGCCTAAAGATATCTATATTTATCTTCAATTAAGAATCAAAATGCGGATACGTTGTCACCTAAGGACTAAGATGGAATTACTCGTTTCCAGTAAAAAAGGGTCTTCAAATCTCTACACTCACCATACGAAACACAGCAGTATTAAGCTGCTATTTTACGCTGGTATTCTGTGAGAGCGTGGCCCTTCCCCGATCGAGCCGACCTATACATACTACAACCATAATAAAGCTGCAGCGTGGCTCTACCAGGTAAAAAAGTATACTTTATAGACTTGCGTGATTCATAAGGTTGTCGCTACTTATCAGTCAACCTATAAGGGGATTGCCCTGTAATCATCGATCTTGGGATTTCTTACTTCTCATTTCTTACCTATCTATAGTTGGTTCGGATTATTGTTCTGTAAAGTGGTAGTGAAAGGTGATGGAAAAAAAGGAAAATCGGTAAGAGTAATTTTTATATAAAATAAGGGTGACAAGTTGGTGACACATACGTCGCACATAGTCCTTCTGATGATAAGTTGATAGTTTGGGCCGTAAAGATCTACATGAATGCTCGATTAAGAATCATAATGCAGATTCATTGTCACCCCTGAGGCATTTCTTCTCAGTAATTGTAAGTGACAACGCATTTATGGCCTTCTTTGATTGAAGTCCGTTGCAGGTGTAAATGGACTGCAGTACCCACTTACCATCAGGTCAACTGTGTGTTTGTTAGTGTCATGAACATTACATTCATGTGCCCCGCTGCTGAGAACAGGCCTCCTCCCACATCTGAGAGTGTTTTGCTGCAGGACGAGTCTGCCACGCTTCCCACAGCGTGTACAGGTTTCATCTCAATATTTCCTTCACCGCCGAACACGAGATAAATTAATTTAGCTACTAACAATGTTATTAGTGCCGGTGGTTCTTCACTTGGCTTATTCGCTAAATACCACTGCTTAAGGATTAAGATACCTAATGAATTATAATATCACATTTAATTCTTTATCCCGTTCCCTCTTTAATAAGAACAAAAAACAACAATTTACCTTTCTTAAGGCGTAATAATTAATAATATTTTATTTTTTATGTATGATTTTAACACAGTTAAAGCAGTTAAAGTTTGAGTGATAAAACTAAATTCCCATATATGTATGTATTTATGTAAATCGTTTAGTTATAATCGATCTTAGGCACAAGTCATAAAGTATAAAATGTAGAAAAACCGTCAGCGTCAGCAATCGTAGTCATTCAGTAAACATGGCAATCGTGATTATGAAACTAAAAGGTCTTTGTCTTCAATATACAAAGAGTTGAAAAGCAAATAAGTCTGAATGAACGCGAGACAGTCCAAGGATTATCGGCAACGCACTTGCTTGCACTTTGCACATTATTTGTAACTTTTAAAAAATAAATACAATTGCAAACACAAAATCAATGTTTTGCCTCCATATTTGGCCGCGGTGTCAACCGACAAGTTAGAGTATTATCGAAAGAATCCGTTGTAGTCCATTGCATTAATGCAGGTGCGTCGAAACTCATAGGGCAAAGACGGAATACCTCGTTATAAGGATCTCTGATGTGAGTCATAGTGAATGTATAGACATCATTCACTATACAACAGCGGTATGCATTTTACCACCGCTATTCCGTGAGAGCGTGATCCTGCTCATGCATCCGATGAATAATATGATCATCTTATTTTAATATTGTCATACGGCGATACGGGCATCTAATTGTAAGCAATTCCTGTAAATACTAACTATATTTAATGTATACCAAATAAACACATTGAAGAGAGATACTTGTTCCTCGGAAACGGCCCTAACGATATATTATTATCCTTTGAAAATTTTGGATGAAAATAATCTTTACTTTCGCAGCTAATCTAGGTAGGTAGTGCTAGAATAACAATTTTTATTTCTAAAGCAAAACGGAGTATGGAGGCCCACGTGCTAGGTATCAAAAAATCAACATATTATTAATTATTGATTAACTGGGTTTGGTGGCATGGAATTCTACTTGCTCATGGCGTGCACTGATCGATTTTTTTTTTACAATAGAACATAGTTCAATCAGAAGTATCCACTGGATTTATATATTTTTAGTACCTAGGCGACCGAGCTCTGCCCGGTGTTAGAAAATCGGAAGCGTAGTGGCAGGGTGCAGACCGCGAACTCCAAAGGTTGTGAGTTCGAATTCGAATCCGCCATTCGACTACTGTCGTGAACTACTCCTAACACAAGCATTTTAAGCTTACCAGGAATAATATAAGGGTATAATATAAGGATAAAAGGGAATATTAATAATGTTTATTTTATAGCATTGATAGTATTTTTAATTAAAAAATTGTTATCGTAACAATAATTTATTATCACTATAATAAATCAATTTGCCTTTAATGACGAAACTAATATAAAAGTCGTTTTTGCGATGACGTTACATAAACACCAGGCCGGCGAATTTCTCGTTATTAAATTAGATAAAAAAATTAATAAGTAATTTAATCGTTTAAAATGATCGCTGCTGGTCATGGGCCTTACAGGTCTGTGTCGCAAGCAACCCAAAGTCAGGAATTTGCATTTGGAAAAAACCAAAATTAAGGGCTTTTTAGGTGCTAATTAGGCGCCAATTTTGAAAATTAGGTGCCCTAAAATTTTCACCGCAGCGAACTGTTGAAATTTGCGTTGCTGGCAAAACGTATCGCTAGCAACGCAGTGACGTTTTGCAATATTTAAATCGATATTAAATGTGTTGTCCAGGACGTCCATATTATGGTTACGGCGCACCTCCACCACCCCCTCACGGCTATCCGCCTGGTCATCTACCGATGTACCCTGGCCCTGGTGTCGTCTACTACCCAGTCCACCCTGCATACTTTTATCCCTACCCGCCACCTCCTGAGCCAGTCCAAGTGGTCGAAAATGCTGAGGCTGAGGAAATCGTACCGGAATTACCCGGAGAAACTGTCGAATTGCCTTGGAGTAAGTTTTATTAGGTAAAGCGGTTATTACGTGTTATCGATGTTTCAAGGCATATGGTTGGGTCAATATAGATAACACCTTTCGTACGGCTGCGGTAGAAATAAATGATGGTATATATTCTTTAAATAAAAATTGGTTTCTCTGTTTGGATTAATATTTCTTTATAAATTATATATCTTATCATCAAATACTGAATCAACATTATCTAACTTGGTGTACCGTTGGTATGTGAAATCGTTATCGGAACATAGATAAAGATAGATACCCAGTTAAGAAATTATGATTAATTCTGTCATTCTCTTTAAAGAAAACACATTGATCTATAATAGATAACAATATTTAACATCAATATACACAAAGATGTACGAACATTTGTAGGTTTAAACATAGATTTAATATATACTGTACTATATCTATGGGTTTAAATTGATTTAATTGTTGTTACGTTTCTCCAATAAAGGCAGGCAAAATGCTATACCACACAGCCTACTTTAAATTGTGTTTTGTTCACAATACTATTGTTATGAATTATGCTGATTCGTCACATTGCGTAGTTCTGAGGAGATTTTAACGGCTACTTAATCCGGCGGAGAATTGATGACGATAATATCTCAAGGGCCCCCTAAGCGGGTTAAAAAAACCCGAGATTTATATCGCCATATTAGCAATTGTTTAATTGTTTTCATAAATAATTTACTTGCGCGGCCATTTAATACACAAGGCCACTTTTACCTATCAAAATCCACTTGAAATCAATAACTATGTATTTTAAACAACCAAAACACTTGCAGTAATTCGCCGGCGGTCAAACAAAACTCTCTTTACTTAATTGATTAAAAAATATGTATTAAAGTACCAAATTTTTGAATATGGGATTGGATTGGGACACCAAAAACTTATTTTTAAACTTGTACAAAGGTGTTATCTTAGTTATACGTGTTGTCTGCCATTGTTGGGCCAACCCTCTCTATGGTTCCTTATTCCTACGCTTGAATTCCTTGCCGTAACCATTATTATAATGTAACAAAACAGTACATTAGTCTGTACATAGATTATATTTATTGTAATTCCATACAGAGTTTTGGCCGTTGCTTTCTGTGTTGCTGTTTACAATTATTATTGTCTTTGATTATATGTATGTATGAGCAAAGACAATTTTATATTATATTATGAGATTTAAATTACATTAATAAAAATACATTGCTTATATGATAAGAATTCCAGATTTATTGATTTCTTTACAGTTTTTGCTTGTTTTTTTTTAAAAATAATAAACTATCATGCTTGATTCACTGCCTTTAAAAACATTACAGCCTATAAAAGTTCGCTGATAAACATAGGCCTCTCCCATAGATCGCTTCACAGGATGGACGTTGCCATAGTTGCCACGCTTGGCGGGCGGATTGGTAACCACAGCTTTTTTTATAATTTTGAGTTGTTATCAGGAAGATGCTGCTGCCCATCTACTGTTTCAATTTCCCTCTGTCGCCTCTTGCGACACCCACCGGACGATATGGGGTAGTGCATATTCTTATACCGCCAATACACGGGATAGTGGTTCACAATTATAGAATGGCGGATTCGAATCCACGAACTTCAGAGTTCTTAGTCCGTATCGTTAACCATGAAACTACTGTATGTTGTATTTTTACATTTTAACTTAAGTAACGATTACTTTTCTTCACAATTTTTCATTCTAAATGTCATCATTATTACGTATTAAACGTAATTTATTTATAAAATAAGTTTTTGCTAATTTCTAGGTACTTACCGCTGGGTTCCGGCTTGTCTAAGTCAACGCAGCATCCCTCCCGGTGCCTTACGCGTGGGCACGGACGTTGATGGAGATGAAATCTATGCTGGTCGCGCCCACCACGAGGGCGATATCCTGCCTGCTAAGGTCATCCCCTCAAAGAATGCGTGTTACATTGCATACGGTGGTGAAGAGATCTTGAAAGACCAGTTCGAGGTACATATATAGTTATACATTTTTTTTAAATAAAAAAATAAAATTAATTTATATCATCATGTATTTTGTGACAGTGTGTGATACAAATTTATTTCATTAGTTCTAGCCATAGATGTGTATATATATATATATAATTCCTTCAAATATTGTTAGTAGAAATGAATGAAAATTGCAAGAAAATTTGTAACTAAATAGTTGCTAATTAGTTGATAATAAGTTAATAAGAAACCACGAAGTTAATGATAATTGAGTCAAATTATAGCTCATCATAATATGTTGGTTATCTTCCCGTGGGTGTCGTAAGAGGCGACAGAGGGAGACAGGCAGGAGATGGGCAGCAGCATCTTCCTGATAACAGCAACTGTACGACAAAAAAAAAACTGCGGTTGCCAACCCGCTCGCCAAGCGTGGCAACTATGGCAATATACCCCCCCATGAACAATTACACAAATAGACGGCCCCCAGTCCCCGGCGGCCCCGCTATTCCTGGCTACGGTGGCGACCATGGTAACGGCGGGGCAGGGGGTGCTAAGAATCTCCGGTGGAGGTTCGGTTGCCACCTACGACGACTCGACCTGGCAACATTTAACGCACGCACACTGAGGACTGACGAGAAGATCCTGGAGCTGGAGGAAGAGATAGACAAGTTGCGCTGGAGTATTATAGGATTATCCGAGGTCCGAAGAGAGGGGGAGGACACGGTGATTCTCGAATCCGGCAACTTGTTCTATCACCGGGAGGGCGACCATCTGTCCCAAGGAGGTGTCGGATTTATCGTCCACAAGTCTCTCGTCAACAACGTTGTACAGATTGAGAGTGTGTCGACGAGGGTCGCGTACCTGATACTCAGAATCACCAAACGGTACTCGCTGAAGGTCATACAGGTTTACGCACCAACGTCGGCACATTCCGATGAGGAGGTGGAGGAAATGTATGAGGATATTTCCAAAGCCATACATTCCTCCAAAACCCACTACACGGTGTTGATGGGAGACTTCAACGCAAAACTAGGCACAAGAGAAAGCGGTGAGCTGAAGTTAGGGAAATTTGGAGTAGGGCAACGGAACCGAAGGGGGCCAGCAGCTGGCCGACTTTATGGAGAAAGAGGGACTCTTTATGATGAACTCTTTCTTCCAGAAGCGGCCCCACAGGAAGTGGACCTGGTCGAGCCCCGACGGTTCGACAAAAAACGAGATTGACTTCATTATGACGACCAGACGCCAACTGTTCAGTGATGTCTCAGTGATCGCAAGGGTGAAAACTGGCAGCGATCACCGAATGGTTAGAGGCACACTGAACCTAAACGTTAAGTTGGAGAGGTCTCGTCTAATGAAGTCAACGCTCCGTCCCCCTCGTGCTCTGATCCAAAATCCCGAAAACTTTCAGCTCGAGTTACACAACCGCTTTCAGTGCCTACAAGATTGCAATGCAGTGGACGATATGAATGACAAGCTCGTGGAAACTGTCCATGCGGTCGGAGCTAAGTTCTGCAAGACCCGCCGCAGAAGAACACAAAAACTCTCCGATCACACTCTTAATCTCATGGCTGTTAGACGGGAGATGAGGCTGCAATCGTCAACAGATTTGACAGCATACAGGCAACTGAACAGACAGATCTCCAAATGCATGCGGCGAGACTTACGCAACTTTAATACTGCTCGTATTAAAGAAGCGATCGAGCGGAACCAGGGCTCCAAAGTCTTTGCCAGAGATCTGTCTGCCAGAAAGAGCCAACTGTCAAGGCTGAAGACTGAGTGTGGCAGCATCGTTTCCGGGACACCTGAGATTTTGAGTGAGATTGAGAGGTTCTATGGGCAGCTGTACACATCATCGTTGGAGCCACACGCAAGTGTGAGTAACGATCCAAGAGCAAGTCTTATCCGACACTATTCCGATGATATCCCGGACGTCAGTCTAAGCGAGATTAGAATGGCTCTCCAGCACCTTAAAAACGGCAGGGCCCCAGGCGAGGATGGAATTACAGCGGAGCTTCTGAAAGCGGGTGGAACACCGGTACTTGAAGTCCTTCAGAAGCTCTTCAATTCCGTCCTCCATGGTGGCACTACTCCAGAGGCGTGGAGCAGAAGTGCGGTGGTCTTGTTCTTTAAGAAAGGCGACAACGCTCTCTTGAAGAACTACAGACCGATTTCCCTTCTGAGCCGCGTCTACGTGCTGTTTTCGAGAGTCATTACGAATCGTCTCGCACGCAGACTCGACGACTTCCAGCCTCCCGAACAAGCCGGTTTCCGAAAAGGCTTCAGTACCATAGACCACATACATACCCTGCGGCAGATTGTACAGAAGACTGAAGAGTACAATTTGCCACTTTGCCTGGCGTATGTGGACTATGAGAAAGCCTTTGATTCCGTCGAAATTTGGGCGGTGCTGCAGTCCCTTCAGCGGTGCCAAGTTGACTGTCGGTATATCGAAGTGCTGAAGTGTTTGTACAGTAGGGCTACGATGGCTATCCGAGTACAGAACCAGAGCTCGAAACCTATCCAACTGCAGAGAGGTGTAAGACAGGGTGACGTTATATCCCCGAAACTCTTCACCGCTGTTTTGGAAGACGTTTTCAAGCTACTGGACTGGAAAGGATACGGTATTAACATCAATGGCGAGTACATCACTCACCTTCGATTTGCCGACGATATAGTCCTTATGGCAGAATCGCTGGAGGACTTAAGCACTATGCTCAATGACCTCAATAGTGCCTCGCAACGGATAGGTCTTAAGATGAACATGGACAAAACAAAGATTATGTTTAATGTCCATGTCACACCTATGCCGGTAGTTGTTGGGAGCACTATGCTCGAAGTTGTTGACGAGTACGTTTACCTGGGACAAATAGTCCGACTAGGTAAGTCCAACTTCGACCGAGAGGTCAATCGACGGATTCAACTCGGCTGGGCAGCGTTCGGGAAATTACGACATATCTTCTCGTCAGGTATACCTCAATCTCTGAAAACTAAAGTGTACAACCAGTGCGTGTTGCCAGTGATGACTTACGGATCAGAGACGTGGTCCTTCACTGCTGGCCGTATGAGGACGCTCAAGGTCGCTCAGCGAGCTATGGAGAGGGCTATGCTCGGAGTTTCTCTGCGTGATAGACTCAGAAATGAGGATATCCGCAGTAAAACCAGATTGACCGACATAGCCCAACGGATTAGTAAGCTGAAGTGGCAATGGGCCGGCCATATAGCTCGAAGAACCGATAACCGATGGGGAAGAAAGGTTCTCGAGTGGCAGCCTCGTACCGGTAGGCGTAGTGTAGGGCGACCCCCCACTAGATGGAGTGACGACCTGGTAAGATATGCAGGAAGTCGATGGATGCAGGTGGCTCAGGACCGTGCTTTGTGGCATTACTTGGGGGAGGCCTATGTTCAGCAGTGGACTTGTGAAGGGCTGTGATGATGATGATGATGATGATAATATGTTGGTAATTTGTTGCTGGAAAAAGTTAAGACATGGTAAGAAAATTCTAGGGTTGGCCGGAACTGGTAATCGGTAGCTAACACCAGCGCCATGCTGCCGTAATACGCGTTTTTTATAGAAGAAATGCAGTCATAGATTTTTTGCTGATCAGAAATGACATCAAGGATGCCTAGAAAGTGCGTGTGGCAGCATGGACACTTGTACTTAGCTACCGGTTGTCAGGTCCAGCCAATTTTTTATAGTATTTTGTTATACTGGCTTTCTCAGCATCACTAATGTTATTTCTGAGCTGAGAGTAACAAAGTCTATGACGGCATTTCCTCTATGAAAACCGCGAGTAAGAGTAGCATGGAAGCTGGTATTTAATCGTAGCTACCGATTTCCAGGTCCAGTCCATATTTTGTTTCTATTTTGCAGACCTGATGTAATTTATTTTTGCATATCACCTATGAAAACGTGCCACCGTTTCGTTTGCCAGGTCCGGCCAATCCTCGGATTTTTTTCTTTTTACACTTTTCCAGCTTCAAATTAGCAACAAATTTCGATCTGTTTTAATTAACTCAATTATTATTGTTTTCATTTTGTTTACTGCTAGCTTGATATAAATAGAAGCTTCAAAGCTTGATATATTCGCCTCATATGAAACCCTCGGGATGAAATAAGGTGACAGATTCCCTTTATAAACCGCCACTATAGTACGTTTCTAGGTCAGGCGGAAAAAAGTATATTGACCTTTGACGATATCATCGGGGTAGGCAATCTTTTTTGTTTAGGTTCATTTTTTATTCCTTTTATCATTACATACATTATCAGAGTGAAAGGCAAGGGTGCCGAGTGCGAAGTTCTTTACAGGCCCTATGTCTATTATTATATAATAAAGAAAGAATATTATCCTGTACCTAAATGAATCAAAAATCAAATTAATATTAATTTAAGTTTATTATTTATAAATCATGAGTTATTAAAATTTTCATTATAACGTTAATAGTAGGTAAGTACTTTAATAAGTAGGTAGGTAGGTAAAAAGACGAACTTTTAATGCTAAGCATTCTTCAGCAGCCAACCTTGAAACATACATAAAACTTCTTATAAAAGATTGTCAGAGACACTTGACAGACTATTCATCTGTATACATTTCAGAGTCATTTTATGATGATGTAGATGTAGAAGAGTCCGTCACTTTGATTATAACCTAAAATATCGGCAGTATTCTTTTTCATATCCGTTTTGGATGGATATACGTCACTAGACCACGTTTCTTTTATATATTTATAGATGTTTACAATCATTATTTTTTCGGTTTCCGAAATATGCGACAATTTCTTTCTTGGTGACGTAAAATCTTTATGAGATTTTCATGTCGATGAACCCGATTTCATAATAGTGATGATATACAAAACGTCACAAAACAATAACAAATTCTTTAATACAAAATGTAATAATACAACAAATAAAGCAAACTTAATAAAAATTAAAACAACTACTATAACCGAAAATTTTAAATCTCAAACTATATATCTACACGCAAGCGCATCCCAAAGCAGAATGAGGAATGAGTTCTGCTCCATCCGCTTTCTCGAATACGCATGGCGTGAGACACAGGTTTATTATCTCTGAATGACCGCTTCCTTTACCTACCTGCGACCCTACCCCGTACCACGAGACACGCTTAGCGCATAACAATACGTAATCTATAAAGAAATGTATGGAAGCAATAATTGTCGTTTTGTTTCGATGCTAACATAATACTTGAGGTTAATGTACTTTTTTCCGCCTGCCCTAGAAACGTACTATACATGGTATCGATACTCGATACACGGCATCAGCATCGCTGAAACTGTTATTGTGTATTAAAACTCGATTTTCTACAAAGTCAAACCAAAACAATATTTTTAAAGACTAAGAATGATTAAGCCTTATATATATTTTTTCAGGTCTTGGTCCCGGCAATATTCTCGTGGCAGTTCTCCACAAATGGTGCTGTGCCCCCAGGTGCAGTTGAAGCTGGAGTTACAGCTGATGGAGAAAAGCTATACTTCGGAAGGGTGACTCACGATGGGTGCACCACTCCTGGCAAGGTATATATTGCATTGAAACTTTAAGTCATATTGAACTTCATATTAATACTAATGTGAAAGTATAGTACTACCTTTACACAAACAGATGAGCTGTTCGTGTAAAGACCCTCGTTTCTAAGTAGGCTGCATGGTTGGGTTAATGATGCAGTTCTAATTATAAAAAATAACAAGTAAATTATTACTAACTATAAGGAACCAAACTTTAGTTAAGTATTGCTTTCAAACAAATTGATCAAAAAATCACCCTTATGGAGTAAGATGTATTTATTGCCTCATTACCAAAATAAAGACTCTCCTGTTTACGACAGTACAGCAGTATTTTACTACTATTTCATGCTAGTTCTGTGCAAGAGTGGTCCATTCGTGCTGCAGCTCTGATATATTTCAGCGTGGCTATACCGCGTACAAACGTTGTTAAGGCCTCTGTCTAGATTTGCTGTCTTACAATCCCAGCCATGGGAGGGGGCGCTCTCCCCCGTACATAAATACGTTCAAGATCGCAGGTGAAGGTTGCTCTACTTCATTAAATATATAACTTATTTTTTTTTTTCCAAAAATATTACTTTTACTTTTGTCGTGGTAGTATAATTTTTTACCCTTTTATATTTCATAATTGTCGTTTTTAGTACAACAGAAGGAAAATAAAAACTGCCTCTTCATACAAATTTCGCCTCTACCTTGTACATTTTGTACTTTACTACTATTTTTACTGACACAAGGATATTTCTTCCTTTTTCTAACCATCTTTTTCCGTTTATTTTTTTGGTAATAAATTGAAATTCTTCAAATATAAAAGTCCAAGTCAATTAATCTAATACTAATATAAACACTAATACACTAAAAACCAGAACTAATATGACAATCAAATAAAAATAATATATATTTAAGTAGAGCAACTTTCACGATATGCTCCGCTCAGTCCATAAGAGCTGCGCGAGGGAAAGAGATCAACCATGCGAGCGAGAGGTAAAGTAACGTTGAGCAACACCGCACACGTCTGAACGCCGAGAAATCCCAGCGGAACTGAGAGAATTTTCAGGCGTTTCTGGTTTATAAATGGAATATAGGTAAAAAGTACGAAAACATATATTTTTTTAATTTTATATATTTCTAATTCACTTGAAAATAGTTCTGTTTTATGTGGTTTTAAGTACGACTTTGCTACATTTATACTTGTAATAGAAAACAATAGATATTTGCAGTAAAAAAAAATCATGAAATTACAACTTTTTAAGCCCTTCAAATAAGAAAATTAAAGCATTTATAAAAAAAGTGACCAGATTAGATTATTGTAGATAATATGTAAATAAATGTAATCTGAATACTTTTCTTGATGTTGTTATAGTTTGTACATAGCAGAGGCTTTAATAAGACCTTTTACGCATGTAACCTAAACATAGGCATGTTTAACGCCTAATAGAGCTATTAATTTAAACACCAAAATAAAATTAAAAAACAGTTTCGAAAATATCAAATCCTACACTTTAAATAAATGTAAAATATATTTCACTTTTTCTTTTTAAATACTATAAAAAATATTTGTTTTGCTGTAAATTTTGCGAGAACACTAATTTTTACAAGACTGGGGCCTTAACGTAAATTACTGTCTATTTTCTCAGAGTTTATTAGCTGTCCACACTGTCTTCTGCATAGATTACCAAAGAGCACGGTTATAAGAAATTTGCCTACACTAAACTAAATGAATGTATGACTCTATTATTTTTTTCAGATCCACCCTAGTCACGGTGCTTGCTACTACCCATTCGATGGCGAAGAGAAGAGCAGCGCGGAGTACGAGTGCCTTGTTCTCATGTAGATAGGCCATCTCTTCAACAATATTTTCTGGTTTTCATCTACTTCAGAACTAATTAATCAAGTGTTACATTAAAAAAAGTAAAAATGGAGTTCATTATGATTCATCCGTACCATAGAACAATATCTCAAATAAAATATCGGTACTATAGAATCAATATCGTTAACAAAATTGAAACGTAAAAATATATTTATTAATAAATTTTATTTAGTATAATTTCTAGAACTTTTACTGTGTACCCATATCTTACACACAACGCATGACCTTTAATGGTGATCATAGAAATTATAAGTATTATTTATTTTTATATTTGTTCGTGACGGTCCAATAATATTATTAATAATTAAATTCAATATAAAGGGCAATCAAAAAAAAGTCTTAAAAGATGTATATTAAATAATAAAATTACATTAATAAGCATAAAGTTAAGATAAATGCATTTCAGATATTAGACAAATAATGTAGTAAATTTAAGGCAAAATATTGTCTTTCAGAATAAACAAATTTATTTAAAAACTTGTAAAAATATTTAAAATATGATAAATAATTGAAATACAAGTCGAAAATATTATAAAAATAAAGATAAATAACGTTTATAAGATAATTAGAAAATTTGTTAAAAAGTCTTGGAAAGAGTTCGTGTATAAAAGAAAATTTTCCTAAGTTGTGGAAAGTGTTCGTGTATAGATGGCTTGTATGGAGGAGCTGCTGGAGACGCATACCTGCAGTTGTACATATATATGGGGTGGTTGGGAGACCGACTGCTTTAGGTACTGTAGCACAATGACTAGTTCTATATTAGGGACTTATAATAATAAACTCAATGATACAAAAGCAATAATATAGAAGGTCTCTATGATGAATTTGCATTACAATAGTGGGGTCGTGGGTTGAAGTCCTATATATTAATGACTTATGAAAGTGAGGTCTATCATACAAAAACATTATTATAGAAGGTGCATCAAGGGATGCATAAGCATTATATGGGGTGGTCGGGTGACCGACTGCTCTTAGTACGTAGCAAAATGACTAGTCCATATTAGGGACTTGAAAAGGATTATTACAGTGGCGTGTATGCTGCTTCACGAGCAATTGGTCCGAGGTAAACTTGGACTCGCTAACTGATATTATCTTAGTGCCGGTGGTAAGCGGGTTTGTTGTAGCAATACGGCTTTCCCGTGGACATCGCACACCCATACCGTTTGTGGCGGCGTCGTAGCGCATAGCGATGCGCCGTCTATCTTTCGGATTGGGATGAGTGTGTTTGTTAGCACTTTTAAGCGTAACAGGCATACTCAACTTCATGTCTTAGTACATTAGCGATATGATACGTGGAATTTTGTCTACTGGCGTCTTAGTAGCGTGCTACTATGATACCTTGGTGTTGTTTTAAGTTAACAACATCCTAGTGCCGGTGGTAAGCGGGTTTGTTGTAGCAATACGGCTTTCCCGTGAACATCGCACACCCATACCGTTTGTGGCGGCGTCGTAGTGCATAGCGATGCGTCGTCTATCTTTCGGATTGGGATGAGTGTGTTTGTTAGCACTTTTAAGTGTAACAGGCATACTCAACTTCATGTCTTAGTGCATTAGCGCTATGATTAGTGTTGCCCAAATGCAAGAACAAGACGAGACTTAGCCGGTCTTGGTCTTGGTCTTGCGCCAATACACCTGGTCTTGTTCTTGGTCTTGGTATTGCGCTCTCAGTCTTGTTCTTGGTCTTAATCTTGCAGCAAGAGTCTCGTAAGTCTCGCAATTACCTATTAGCCTATTGTTATTTATTAAACGTTACTTTAGATCTTAGAACAACTTAACAGAGTAGGCACATTTTGAGCTTGAATTAACATAGCCATAGAAAGACCAACCAAATTAATAAATGTCTAACATTTAATGAGAAATTCGAAAAATCAACTAATACCGGGTGGGGTTTGAACCCACGACCTAAGCGATCCGTGCCGTAGCTCTAACCAACTGAGCTGTCTACCAAGTCTCACGGCCACGGGAGTTAGTCTGTTTCTTAATAAACGTTTACATTTAATAAGCTTACATGTGCTAAAACTTAGTCAAAACATATAAAAAACAAATTAATGACATTAACTTGACTGTATTATATTAAACATTATCTGTCTAGAAAGAGATTGATAGACCCTTATATGAAATGGAATAAAAGAGTTATACAATTTACCATTTATTTAATAAAAAATAAAATACAATACAAATTAAATTACATAACAGTACACAACAGATTTGACACTACTGTTACTTTATATTAATTCTTTTGACCAAGAATTAATACAAAGTAACCATCTGCCTGACTCATCACTTAACCTATTTCTATGTTTTCTAATTACAAATGATGCTTTAGAAAATAATCTCTCAGCAGATACTGAAGTTGCAGGTATTGAAAGAAAATCACGGGCCATCTTCGATAAAGTCGGATATTCTGTCTCATGCGTCCTCCACCACTCTAAAATGTCTTCCGAACTGGCGGCTCTGGATTTAATTAGGTACTCCTCCAACTCGTCTATAACTAAACCTTGATGAAAAGATCCAGATCCAGATGACGTCGAGGGACATCCATACAATTTCTCAAAGTCTATTACGTCTTCATCTTCATCATATTCACATACTTTATTTTAATTTCTTGGTGATTCTAGAGATGTATTCACTGAGTGTAGACTTTTACATTCTTTATAAAGTTCATTAAATTTGCGCAGGCTTTCTGTTTTAATTTGCTTCCCCCATAATGTCATGTCAAAAGTCTGAGTCTTATGCCTTGGGTCTAAAATTAAAGAGGTACAATAAATCCAGTTGCTCTTTTTATAATGTTTAAGCATTTTATCTCATATTTATCTAATCTAAATATTTATATAATAAATAAAATAATAAATATAATATCGCATATTTGTCTCGAGCTACTTGAAAACCCAGAATGAGCCTTTCATCCACTTCGGATCGATTAGGTTTCTCATCTAATTGTTTTACCATGGATTCAATTTTATCGAGCAAGAGATTGAATGATACAATGACTAGCGGTAATGTAACATATTTTTCTCCACCAAGTTTCGTTGATAGAGGTTTAAAGTTTATTAGAAACTTATGTACTTTTTCGAGTATTTGCCATTCACTATCTGTGATTTGAAAATCATTCAATTCGGTGACAGAAGTGCACAATATGTTAATGCCAGTTCTCACCTTTAAACCAAATCCAATCATATCATGTGTGGAATTCCATCTCGTTGGACAGTCGAGTATGGGGTTCAGATTTGATGGTACGCCAGCTGCTTCACAAGCAGACTGAAACTTCCTCTTCAATATCTCACTTCTTTTTATTTTACTGGAAATACTGCGTAATTTTGTTATAGCTGTATGTCAGTCAGCAATATTTGGCGCATATTCTTCATCTTCCTCAGTTTCGTCTTCATTATCTTCATACTGCTGTTCTTGTCCCGTATTGTCAGTTTCACTGTGTATTGCTAAGGTCTTTAATAAATCTTGTACACCAAGGTTTTAAATGTGAGCAAAACACCGGAAATGTTGATTGTCTGAATCAAAGTGTGGCAGCTGTTTGTCCAATTCATACATAAATTTGGTATTTGCAGTTGCGTTGTCGACCGTGATACCCTGTATTTTATCAATTATGTCATATTCCAATAAACATTCGTGGAAAATCGTTGCAATATCTTCCCCAGTATGTCGACCGCGTGATGGTATAAAATCAAGGACTCCAGATCGATACTTCCATTCGTTGTCTATATAATGAATAGTGACCCCGTAGTAACTCCTACCAGCAATTGACGTCCATCCATCAATGGTAAATGACATTTTAGATGAAAATTGTTGTAGTCGTTTCTTAAGATTCAATTGAAGCTCTTCACACCGTTCTTTGACCTTCCTTCTAAGTGTGGACCTTTTAGGAAACACCATATTTGGGCAAATTGATCGAAAATATACTTGTGCAGCTTCGTTATTGAAAAATGAGAAGGGAAGATATTTTTTAACCATCCAATCAACTGTAGCTGTCGTGATGTTGTCACTGCTATTTTCATATATAATCTATATATATATATATATATATATATATATATATATATAACTACCACTCACTGACTGACTATAACGATATCTCAGGAACTATAAAACATACAAACTTGAAGTTTGTAAAGTAAGTTCCTTTTTTTATGGCATAGAGATCAGTTAAGAAACGGTTTTGAGAAAATCTATCCCTAAGGGAGTGAAATGGGAGTTGGAAGTTTGTACGAAAGTCCTACGTTTTTGAAGTTAGAGACACGAAAATCGGCATTAAAGTTATAAGTTTTCAATAATAAAATCCTGAATAAGCTGTTTTACGAAATTCTAACCCTAAGGGGGTGAAATTGTGGTAAAATGGTTACATGCAAGTCCTATATTTTTAAAGTATAGATATGAAGATCGACATTTACTTTATTAGTTTTAAATAATAAATACTTGCATAGTTAAGCTTTACCTATAAGCCTCTTTATACTTAGGTAAGACTTTTGCAGCGAGAAAATTTCAAAATATCATAGGAAATCAGATATTGTACCCGGACGACGCTAGTTACATAATATATGTGTTGTATAATTGTGTGATAAGTATATTTTTTCTTACCTGTCCACTTTTTCCGGTGGTTATTAAAAAGCTTGTGATATCTCCACTTAATTTTGGTTATTCAGGAAGAAATATTTGTGATTCCCTTTTTTGTGGAAATATATTAGATACTTCCTTAAGCCTGAAGTGTTTCTGTTTTTCATTTTTATTTTAACCTTTTTTATGTTGGCATAATTTACACAAAGCAATTTGGGATGCATGAATTATGTCGAAAAACTCATCAAATTTACTTTTAGGTCTTATAGATCTATAACTCCAACTCTCACTACTCCGACTAGAACTATTCGACTCTTGGTCACTCATGTCAAATTGTAAACTTATCACTCCGAGAACAACAAGGATTAGAGTAAAAACAATTAATACATTAGACTCGA